TAAGCTCTGTACGTATAACAAGGAAAAATAACAAAATTTGTATGAATTTCCTGCACAAACCGGGACCAAGACTGAGTTCATTCTATATTGCCTCGATATCTTTGTGGTCCCCAGCATAAAGGTCGGACAGACCGAGGCGCTCGATCGTTTAGTGCGTAAATTTAAACTCTTAACCACAGTTAGTTGAACGGTCAAAGGACAATTCTAAAATCTTGACCACGTCCATGATTTTGAGGAAGACGCTCCGTCGAAATTCAGGCACTAATAAAATTCTCACATCAAACAACCTCCCTTGCAGAAAAATAAATATCATAATCTACATAGTGGCCTTCGTTAGCAGACATTACTTGACATACTAGGAAGCGTAACCGCAATAATTCTAAGCATTTCGACGTCAAGTGTTCGTATCATAATTGACAGTATTGTCATACACACATAGTCGAACATTTTCATGGTGACTCGTAAACTGGCCTTAGCTTTCATCCACAGGAATACCCCACAAAAGCTTAATGACCGTGTACTGCGCTGAAATGGGAACTTGAAAACATTATAAAAAATCACATCACTTTGCGGGTCTGTACTAGCCAACATTTAGATTCTGGCTACCCAAAATGTTGCTGCATCAGAGTTATCATTAGTCTAGCTGCATTTCATTGAAATATGAACTTCATTGAAATATGGCTATTCTTCTTCTAAAAATGCGTATGAATGAAATCACACCATAGTAAGCAGAGAAACCACAATTACGGTCGTAACTTGTATATTAATCACTATGTCACCCGTCAAATGAATGGGCAATATAAAGAATATATCGTCTTATAGGTTAGTAATCAAATTAAAAGGTAAAATCGCATGAGAAATGAGAGATGACACATAAAAAGCCGGTCCTGACTGACGGACCACAGCAGATCGAAAGGAACAAACGATTATATTGAGTGGTTGCCCTATACACGCAAGCGCCAGATCTGTACAAGTGATTAACAGTAGATCGCTCTGCGCTGCTAGCAAATCGGCAGAAAACCAGCCAGAAAAAAAGACGTTACTTTGCTAGCCAGGAAGGTTGTCAGTAAAGGCAGGCAGTTCTTTGGGCATGCTTTTTCTCGGTGCCCTGGGAATAACTAAAAAATTGCGGAAACTATGATCTTTGCTCCGAATTCTTCTTTGGTACAAAATTTTCTCGAGATGTCGTTGCTCTAAAGCCTTCTCACTTCGACCGACGGCATTCCCTGGAGACGGCTTTTGTTAAACGCCTGACTCTACAATGCAGTCCTACACATGTGAGCAATACATTGGAATTACAAATATCCAAAAGGAGTTTTCTGGCGTTGTTCAGGGAGTGTCTACACGAAAGAAACTTTTTTCTAGTCCATGTGATGTCCCAATACAAACCAGTTAATACGATTACATAATCACGAGATTCTATCCGACCGAGCACCAGCATGCTTAAGAGAAACTTCCGAAAGAAATTCTCGAATAAAGAAGGTCCTCAGGGTGGGACCAGCGTTGAGGAACTAGATGGCTGCAAAACGTGTTACCCTTTCCATTTCACTAAAAACAGGAGAGAAGAGATAACTTAAGAAAAGTTTTGCAGGCTTCGAAGCGTCCCAGTCAAGAATAAAATTGCCTGATGACAGCTCGCCAGAAGCTGCTCGGAATTGGGTTTTAGAAATGGAATATCGTCCTGGCTATATGGTGACCGCTTTGCTAGACTACACAGCATAACGGTGGGGAAGGCCGCACCTTGAACGAGTGCTGGCAGGACTAGTGCGCCATCTTTACACACAACTTTTTTGAGGTCCACACCTCACAGAGCATCACGAGGAAACTCCATAGGTGATACATTCTGCTCTGTTGGGTCTTCATCCGAAGCGAGCGACCTACTATCCGACCCAATGTACTTCCTTCCATATTGCATTCTTTCTCATTCCAGTTCGATATCTCATCGACACATTGCTCTTTTGACTACCAATAGATTAAGGGTATTAATATCACCACACCTTCATCGTCTTTGACCTACGGCTTCCACACGCGTCAGCGAACGGCGAACTAAAACGAAAATAGTTAGAAAGCCGGAGCTTCTTAAGAAAAAACTGCGAGCCAGAGAGTCAGTGAAAGCTAGACTTTTAAAGCATGAAAAGGTTCTTTAGGAGCGCGTGATTTCAAGAAATTCCACCATAGTTCCCAATATTCTGCCTGTTCTTTACAGGTGTGCCTTTAATTAGAGTTTGTCATGAAAAGTCGACGTGGATGTGAAGAACACTGTTCTACGAAGCAGAAACCGAAAACCAGCCGAGAGCCTGTCGAATGTGGTGTGGAAGTTCTATTCTTAAGTCATCGCATCAATTTCTCGAATCAAACATGTGATCCAAAGCTTGTTTACGAAGAAATTTTCTTTTGTGCATGTTAGCGAAAGAAGATGGCAAGTCATCAGTCTTGAACACTTGGTGCACAAGCTGATTCTAATGATAGAGATCGTCAATGAGGCGTGAACGAACTTATCAGTCCGCCACGTCTCGTCGCGCGCTATTTCTGCGTTTATTTATATAAGATTTGAGAATAAAATCACGACAAGAATTAAGGGGAGCAAAAGAAGGACAATTTCGCCCAGTCGCTTGCGCTTTTTTTCTCGTAAGAGATTGCCATCGCTTAAAGAAGTTCCTCAGCAAAAATTTCTCTACATGTCCTCTATAAAGAACGGCGAAGTGTCGTAGTGGCAAGTGGCCGTACCACGCGAGCGTCGGCGGATCAAAACCGATCGTGATCGCCCGGCCAACAAAAGCTTCCATCACTCCGGGGTCGTTTAATTGATAGCAGAATTTTCAGGAGTACACAAAAACGCTGCTTTGTACACGCCTGTCCCCCGCAATCATTGTATGTGCCTCCATCGCATTCAAACTCCACTCGAATGTTAAAATGGAAGTAGAATGCGTGCCGCATCCCAGAAAGGAATTCACTCAACGCAAATGCTTTACCTTTATCCTTTGTCTCTATAAGTACACGGAGGCCTCCCATCATACCTTCACTGCTTCAGGAATATGATGTCAGCGTCACGTCGTCGAGTCAGGGAGGCCTACTAGTAACTGCTTCCAGCCTGAAGTTCTTACGAATTTCTTAGATCGAATACAACTTTAGAGAGTTCCTAGCGCGCATTATCTAACTATCCAAACCCCATCGGGGCCCTTCGAAACCCGTCGTAATGATACACGATCAGCCGAAACCCATCAGCTCGACAGAGCACCCAATTGGTCCAGCGGCAAACTTTCTATGCCCATCAGTCAGATGCCACTATGAAGTTTTTCTTATGGCGAATAAAATGCCCCTCTTCAATGAGCACACGCTTTCAACTGCAGCAAAGGTGCGGGATCAAATCATTTAAGCTGAGAAAACAAAATCCTTTTTTAATGCCCCCTCCCGTATAGTTTAGCAAACTGAATGAGCTCACGCCAGTTCATTCCATTCACCACAGGAGGGAGGTGGGGGAGGGGGGGACTACCAAAAGACACTTTTGATTGTTAGCAGATTTTCGGCGTCCAGAATGCCGCCGTTGGTTACAATTATCCCTAGAAGTCTCCAACAAGCGGAGCAGGGAAGCACAGCACGTGTTCATTGCCCACCAGTCTTCAAGAATAGAAAGACATCCTTTCGTTGCCAACAAGCTCGAGAGGAACCCATCATAATGCCTCCAGCCGCCGCTTCTACCTAATCTTTAAATCGATTCATTGGCTGACAAGGTTACTAGCAGACAGATATCTCCACAATCAAACAGACTGGCTGCCCACAAGCAGTCGGACAACGTTGGCACCCGATTATGCCGCTCAACCACGTTGAGCTCGAACATTCACGCTTCCCGAGATACACTTCTTTTTTGTCGTCAGTGTAAAAAGATGGTATGAAGTCCTACAGCAGTGGTCCAATGCTGCCTTCTCAATCCACTTGAAGCATCGACCCTTAGTTGCATTTTCCAAGGGAGACAGAAGCATTTTATGGCCTCTCAGTATGTAAGTAGATGTATTTGAATGTGGTAAAGCTTGGGGGTTATTGCTTTTCAGATAGTGCGGCAGAAGGAGAAAAGATCCTGTTGTGAAGATGGGAATCTGATGGTTATCGCTGTTGGATTTGACTCACACCTTCAAGTGAATTGCATCGCGCTTCCTCTGGTGAAAAGCGAAGTATGGGGAGGCAGGCGCATCCACCATTCGCCCTCTTCGCTTGAGCGACTAGTGAAATAAAGGTACTCACAAAATTGTCTCCAAGTATTTAATATTAGTGTTGGAAGGAAAGTTCCTTAACACTTGTAGCTCAATTTTTGAATTTATTTTGTTTATCTTTAATTTATTCAATCTGATCATAACATATGACCATTAGATACAACAAACACTACGCACAACCTTCGGCATTTGGGTGACACCCAAAATTAGAAATTAGGAAGATTTTGCCTAAAACAACCGGCTGGTGTCGATTGCGCTCGTTTACGTCGTCGAGCTTCCTTTCCCAGGTAATGAGCAAGCGAGCAGGAAAGGTTTGAAGACGGTGATATAGATATTGGCGAAGATGGCACAGACGGGCCAGCCGCTGGTCCTGCCGGCCTTTCAAGTTGTGGTGGCCTTGACGACCGAAACCCCGACGTCGCGTTGTCTGTACAAGCAAGGTTGACTTGTCGCTATATTCGGCGAAGCTCTTCTGCAATCTTTTCGAGCCAGCTAGCATTGTGTGAATGCCGTGTACTCCTCCAATCCTCCGACAGATCATCAACCTTGTGGAAATGCCGGTCAAACCGTCCAAATAATGCGGCAGTTAGTCGTGTGTTGCGTAAGAAAGATCAAAGTCTTCGCTCCGGAGCGGTTTAAACCAGCCCGAATAACCCATGTGGCGATGACATCCCAGGCTATCCCGCGGACTATCCTGACTCACCTCTGGGTGGGCAGATCTCTCTAGGCGAGCTCTTCAGAATGGCCTCGGAGTGTCTGGCGGAAAATGTTGAATTTAGTGCATGCAAACGCCAATATTGGAAACTGATTGATCACCCGTACGCTAGCACGGTCCACTCCTACTTACTATACCACCCATGACAGATTCAGAGCATTCGGTGAAATCCCAGAAAGAGCACTGATATGAGTGTTAGGAATCCTTCCAAGCCTAATAGTACTAGAAAACGCTTCATTTGGATAGAAATAATTAGTTGAGATGTACTCCATATGGAAAAGTTACTTCTTATATGAGGGCTGCGTGCTGTCCAATATTCCACAAATTCCTGCTCAATCCATAGCATTTGGCACGCCTTTCCAGCCTCCTTTTGGCTCCTTCACCGCTGAGCCTTGGCCATAATTGTCATTGTCCTTGCAGGACTTTCCTTGGACGACTGCAGGAGGAAATGAGAAAACTTATTGTTGAGTAGTTTCGCAGTACACGGTCATTGTCGGGGCCATTATTATGAATATCTGTCATGAGCGTCTTACTTTATCAGTCAGCAATGGGGAGAACAAACGAGTTCCCCCACAAGCTTCAGACATTTCACCCTCTCCACTGAGGGACTACGTCGTGCTACTCCACAAAATTCAGCACAGTATCCGAACTGAACTTCGAGTGACGGATCTACGACACAATCTAGAAACATAGACGACATCGAGAAAGAAAAGCACAACAACAGAAAACTGCAGAAATAAAATTTGTATTGCGAACATGGATTTTAAAGGAAGCACGTATGAAGGAATATGTACCTTCATAAGTTCCATCAACTGCGGACCAAATATTATATATTCACAGGAAAGAACGGAAGGTGGCAAGTCTTACAATATTCGAGTAGCTTGGCCTGACTTTCACCAACTGAAAGTTATGATAAAGTGTGTGCAAGCATGGAAGTACAAGCACCAATAGAAGCTGTAGTCAGGGGTCTGAGAAGCGAGATCTGGCCTTCGTGGCCAAAGGCGCGCTAGTTTACGCCCTGGAACTACCAACCCTCACTGAGCTCGCCTTCGCCCCCTGTGCTCCGTTTGCTAGCAGCAACATTATTCTTATCATTTGGACAAGATATTCCGGCTATCGGTTTATCATGTGCAAACGATCTCAAAATTGGTTGCTAGTTCGTCCATTATAGGAAGTCAACGGGCAGAAAATGGGGTCCCATTTTGCGCGTTCTTGACGGATTTCCTTGCTTTTTTCCGCCACTGGGGCAATATTCAGCGTCCTCCCTTCCACTATGAACCCATGAGAAGCTTATCGTAAT